CGTAACATTCGGCATCCAAATGGCGACCAAAACAAATTTTGGTTGCAGAATGTCACAATTGGCGACCAAATTTTTTAGTCGCGAAATGTCACAATTGGCGACCAAAGAAATTTTGGTTGCAGAATGTCACAATTGGCGACCAAATTTTTTGGTCGCAGAATGTCACGATTGGCGACCAAATTTTTTGGTCGCGGAATGTCACAATTGGTGACCAAACTTTTTGGTCGTTGAATGTGATAATTGGCGACCAAACTTTTTGGTCGCGAAAATATCACTTTTCGCGACCAAAGTGTTTTGGCGACAAAATAAACTAGTCGCGGTAATTAAACATTTAGCGACTAAAAATTTAGTCGCGAAATCTAACTTTTGCCGACCAAACACAATTTTGGTCGCGAATTACTTTTGCCGACCCTCAATTGGCGACCAAAGTAGCGACCAAAAAAATTGGTCGCGGATAACTTTTGCCGACCAAAAATTGACTTTTAGCGACCAATTTTTTTGTTGCCAAAAGTGTTAATTCTTGTAGTGAGAAATTTCGAACTTCTTTCCCCTCAGTACTTGTTTCTCCTATTTTCTTGATTCTTTATTGTCAATGTTGGCTGATGATAAGTTGCGGCATAACGAAAATTTTAGATTGCCTCAATGAAAGGTATCAACTAGTAGGTTAATCAACACAACTTCAGGATGGTTTTCGTGAAATTCTTTTGTGAAGCCTAGCATTGTTGGTTGCTTGAAACAAATCTATTTTCAATTATTTAGATATCTTGATATTCATCTATATGTTATGATCTACTATGCTAATGAAAACATTCAACCTGCCCAAGAAAGGAAAGGGTTAATTAAAATTTTAAATTATACAAATTCTATAAAGGAAAAAAAAAAATTACCTTCATCCATCTCTGTCATCTCTTTTTTAGAGTTATTTAGAAAAAATGGTTAAAAGCTGAATTTTTGATTTTTTTGATATTTTTTTTTTAAAAAAAATGTATAAAAAAAGGTAAATAAAATAATGTGACTCAAAATAAGTTAAAAGTTGAAATTCTAAAATTAGGCTTAGAGGTGAATGTGCAGGAGTGAGATAGTGGGTTGTGAACTGTAGGGATGAGAGCGAGAGAGAATTAACAATATTAAAGCAGCCTTATCTAATTTTAATTTTGTAACTAAAAATAAAAGATGAAGTATGGCTTAAGTATTAGTTTGGGTAGTTGATTTGATTTTTATT